ACAGGCTTGAGCCACCGCGCCCGGCACTTGGTCCAGTTTGATTTCCTTATCACGTTCCCTCCCACCCAGACATTTGTGTGATGGATATCACTTTTTCTGTGTTATTATTAGTCACTAACCACAGGTAACCCGATTTTCCCACATGATCTATGTCACTTAAGAAAGGCAACATCCGCCCTGCTGTAGTCGTGTCCCTGAGTTTTGATTACCGGCACAAACAACCGTGCGGATGTGTACATGGGGTGTCAACGTGTGTGTGTGTATGTGCCCATATGTGAATCGTATGTGTGAGAGCGTGTGTCTGTGTGTGTTGTGTGTTGGTGAAAGCATGTGCATGCCTGTGCATGGCCATGATCAGGGCGTTGCTGGATGTGCTACCAGCTCATTGGTGCAGTTCAGGTACACACAGTGACCATAGGAGTGCAGTTTGGGGTACCCCCCCCCGGCAGTAAAGCCACATTCTGGTGATACTTTTATTTATTTATTTATTTATTTATTTATTTATTTTGAGTTGGAGTTTCGCTCTTGTTACCCAGGCTGGAGTGCAATGGCGCGATCTCGGCTCACCGCAACCTCCGCCTCCTGGGTTCAGGCAATTCTCCTGCCTCAGCCTCCTGAGTAGCTGGGATTACAGGCACGCGCCACCACGCCCAGCTAATTTTTTGTAGTTTTAGTAGAGACGGGGTTTCACCATATTGACCAGGATGGTCTCGATCTCTTGACCTCATGATCCACCCGCCTCGGCCTCCCAAAGTGCTGGGATTACAGTCTTGAGCCACCGCGCCCGGCCTTATTTATTTATGTTTATGTTTTTTTGAGACAGAGTCTTGCTCTGTCTCCCAGGCTGGAATGCAGTGGCACAATCTTGACTCACTGCAACCTCTACCTTCTGGTTCAAGTGATTCTCGTGTCTCAGCCTCCCGAGTGGCTGGGATTACAGGCACGTGCCACCACACCCAGCTAATTTTTGTATTTTTAGCAGAGACGGGGTTTCACTATGTTGGCCAAACTGGTCTCAAACTCATAACCTAGAATGATCCATCTGCCTCAACCTCCCAAAGTTCTGGGATTACAGGCATGAGCCCCCATGCCTGGCTAATTTTTGTATTGTTAGTAGAGATGGGTTTGCCACATTGGCCAGGCAAGTCTTGAACGCCTGACCTCCAGTGATCCCCCTGCCTTGGCCTCCCAGACTGCTGGGATTATAGGGACGAGCCCCTGTGCCAGGCCTCTGGTGTACATTTTAGATTTTACAGTCTGAACATTATCAATTTTTTTTTTTTTTTTTTTTTTTTGAGACGGAGTCTCGCTCTTGTTACCCAGGCTGGAGTGCAATGGCGCGATCTCGGCTCACTGCAACCTCCGTCTCCTGGTTCAGGCAATTCTCCTGCCCCAGCCTCCTGAGTCGCTGGGATTACAGGCACGCACCACCATGCTCAGCTAATTTTTTGTATTTTTAGTAGAGACGGGGTTTCACCATGTTGACCAGGATGGTCTCGATCTCTTGACCTCGTGATCCACCCGCCTCGGCCTCCCAAAGTGCTGGGATTACAGGCTTGAGCCACCGCGCCCGGCCCACATTATCTATTTTAAGTCAATACTGAATAATACCCAATGGTCTTCTTATGAAACAACCCAAAATACCATATCCCACCCCTGAAAAAACAGCTGAAAATGTCCCTGCTATTTTTTTGTTTTGTTTTGTTTTGCTTGAGATGGAGTCTTGTGCTCCGTTGCCCAGGCTGGAGTGCAGTGGCACGATCTCAGCTCACGGTAACCTCTGCATCCCAGGTTCAAGCGATTCTCCGGCTTCAGCCTCCCAAGTAGCTGGGATTACAGGCGTCTGCCACGATGCCTGGCTAATTTTTGTGTTTTTAGTAGAGACGGTGTTTCACCATGTTGACCAGGGTGGTCTTCAACTCCTGACCTCAGGTGATCCACCTGCCTCGGCCTTCCAAAGTGCTGGGGTTACAGACATGCACCATGGTGCCTGGCCCCTGCTGGTTTATATTGTTTAATTTTCACATCACACACACTGACACGAGCAGCACGGTGCATTGAGACCCTCACACACAGAGCTCAACCTGAGGGGCAAATAGTGAGATCTCGTGGGCCTGGCCTGATCCATCGGGTACGGCTGCCAAGCACTGTGTTGAGAAGGATTCTGAGGTGGCAGTGGAGCTCAGAGTAAATGCTGGGATCGATTAGCCATGTCTACTGTGGGCGTGGGAGGTGGGGAAGGTGGCCCTCGGGGGCATGTGTGTCCTCCCTGCTAGACATCCCTGCTCACCTCACAGGAGTCTCATCTCCAGAAAGGGTTAGATGTAGCTACAGAGGGACTTACTTGGTGCCAGGCAGGGCACGGCTGTGAGCAACAGGATGTGGCTGGGGCTGCTTAGGACAGGAGCCTGGCAGAGTCCTAAGGGGACCCAGGGGGACACAGGGTTCAAGCTAGTGTTTCTGGGTTGGCTCAGGGCCTAGGAGAAGGGGTTTGGGGTGCGTAGTAGCCAGAAGGAAGAAACCGCATGGTCTGGGGAGGGCAAGGAGTGGAGAAGTATCAGGCTGGCTGGGATGGGGAGGCCTGGAGCTGAGATCTGCCCCGAGAGGCAGGCACCAGGCAGCTGCTGGGGCACGGAAGGCGTGAGTGGCCTCCCCACCTGGCTCCCAGCTTTCCCAGGGGAGGAATGTACCAGAGCTCTGTCTTCTGGTTTCTCCTGAGTGAGCCACCTCCAGCTCCCTGAGAGGCATCTTCGGGGGACTGGGGCTAGGGTGACCTTTTTCCATCCACCAGGCTCCATTGGCATGGGCAGACCTTTCTGCCCTTCTTCGAACCACCCCCCCCCAGGCTGGAGTTGGTTGCATGAGGTTGAACCCATAGGGTGCCACCTGTCCCTCCATTCCTGCCTTCACTAGGACAAGCCTCCAGTGGCCACTTAGTGCCAGGCTATTGCCCAGCCCTGAGGTATTAAAGATGATGCAGGTATTGGCCAGACACGATGGCTCATAACTGTGATCCCAGCACTTTGGGAGGCTGAAGCAGGCAGATCACTTGAGGTCAGGAGTTTGAGACCAGACTGGTAAAAATGGCAAAACCCTGTCTCTGCTAAAAATACAAAAATTAGACGGGTATGGTGGTGCATGCCTGTAGTCCCAGCTACTCAGGAGGCTGAGGCAGGAGAATCGCTTGAACCCGGGAGGCAGAGGTTGTAGTGAGCCGAGATTGTGCCACTGCACTCTAGCCTGGGTGACAAGAGCAAGTCTCTGCCTCAAAAAAGAAGTTACAGGCAGAGTTCCAACTTCAAGGAACTTAGAGGCTGGGACAGACCTATCAGGAAGCAGGGGGCCACCCAGACAGGACAGAAGCCGAGGCAGTGGGATCACTGAGGGGACGGGCAGCCCACCCTGAGGGTCAGAATCTCCTCCCAGTCTGGTGCTGCTTGCACTGAGCTTGGGCCCAGAGGACCAGGAATTTATCAAGCAGTGAACACAGAGGAGGGTGTTTGAGCTGTGGTTACAGCGTGTGCAGAGGCGTGGAGGTGGCACCCAGCCTCAAAGCCTCGGGACTGTAGAGAAAGGCAGGCTGTGAGGTAGGATGAGGCAGAGAATCATCTGTGGACGCCAAGGGCGCCGGGCTCGGCACTGCGGACTGCTGCAAAGGACCGGTGTGCGCATACGTCAGGCCGTGTGCACGACATGGTGTGTAGCCACCACGCAGCTCTGTCCTTAGAGCAAAGGCAGCCATAGAGAAGGCGTCAAGGAGCTGGCAAGGCTGTGTTGCAATAACATGTTATCAGTGGAAGCTGAAGTGTGAATTTCATATCACTTTCATGTGCCACAAAATACTTTTCATTTTTCTTTCTGCTACTCAAAAAAGTAAGAACCAGCTGGGCATGGTGGCTCACGCCTGTAGTCCCAGCACTTTGGAAGGCCAAGGCAGGAGGATCTCTTGAGCCCAGGAGTTTGATATCAGCCTTGGCAACACTGTGACCCCCGTCTCTATTTTGTTTTTTAAACAATTTTTTTTTTTAAAAGGGTAAGAACTACTCTCAGCTCCTGTTCCACACAGAGCCAGGCGTTGGACCTAACCTGGCCCCTGCACTGGCCCTTACTGGGCTGTGAAGGCCACCCCAGACCAGGCAGCCAAGAACAGGGAGGGGGAGGGCAGATCCCTCCCCGGCAGAAACCTTGGGAGGGAAGAGATGACAGAAAGGCTGTGAGTTCACCACGTGACCACTCACCGGGGGCCGTGACCAGGCAGTGGGAGTGGGCGGGCTCAGGAAGGGGAGGCCAAGGCTGGCCGAGAGAGGGGTGGGGGCAGGTGAGGACTAAGGGACCGGTCCCTCCGACAGGTGGACAAGACCGAAGACAAGTCCCTGGAGGAGCGGGGCCGTATCCTCATCTCCCTCAAGTACAGCTCACAGAAGCAGGGCCTGCTGGTGGGTATCGTGCGGTGTGCACACCTGGCCGCCATGGACGCCAATGGCTACTCGGACCCCTACGTGAAAACGTGAGTGTGCCATGCATGTGACCTCCTGCCACCTCCTCACCTCTGGCCTCCGTGGTCTCAGGTGACAGGCACCCAGGGAGCAGCGGAGGTTCAGGGGTGCCGTGTTCCCTGTTGAGCTCCTTTGGCAACTCCAGGGGTTAAGCATGGCCAGCCAATTTCACAGGTGGGGAAACTGAGGCCCAGAGAAGCTGAGTGGCTTCCCAGGGTCATGCAGATATTAGTTATCGCCTGATGCCATGTCCAGGCTTCCCTGTGACTGAGGGGCCCCGGAGGGGTCTTGAGCAGGTTGGAGGAGGGGATAGGAGAAGGCGGGGCCCATGCCAGGGGTAGCCAGGAGGCTGGGAGAGGCGGCAGAGAAAGTCTTTCCAGGCTTTGGCAACTGCCCACTTGTGCCCAGCCCTATCCTGGGGCCACAGATGTGGATAAGAGTCTACCCAGCTCTACCAGTGGAGGCCAATGGTGGTCCTGGGGAGAGGCACTAAAGGGCCATGCCAGGTGACCTGGGCCCCGGAGATGTGGACCTGTGAGCCTGGCCAGGATGGGCTGTGTCGCTCTGAGAGCCAGGCAGGAGCCCTGGCCCTTTGGAGAGGGTGCCGCAGGTGCTGCAGCGGCTGCCTTCAGTGCTTGGGGCTCTGCAGAAACTAGGTAGGTATGAGTCTGAGCTCGCAGGGAGACTCTGGAAAGGGGAGACTTAGGGAGGAATTTAGTTCAGCAGAAAGGAGGGGCAGGTGCTTCAGGGAGGGGCAATGACAGAGGAAGGGCTCTAACCTAGGGGACACCAGGGACCCAGGTGACTAAGGCCTTGGGGGCATTTTGGCACCATGAAGAGGCCAGTACTCCTTGTGGCACAGCTCTGGGGGCACCATCCCCGCTGGCCGTGATCGTATTCCTGCCACTTTTAAAATTATATGGGGCAGGTGCAGTGACTCCCACTTATATTCCCAACACTTTGGGAGGCCAAGGCGGGAGGATTGCTTGAGGCTGGGAGTTTGAGACCCCCATCTCTACAAAAGATTTAAAAATTAGCTGGGCATAGTGGTGCGTGCCTGTAGTCCTAGCTACATGGGAGGATTGCTTGAGCCCAGGAATTTGAGACTAGCCTGGGCAACATACTGAGACCTCGTCTCTACAGTTAAAAATAATAATACATTAGGCCGTGTGCAGTGGCTCATGCCTGTATTCCAAGCACTTTGGGAGGCCGACGTGGGGGGATCACCTGGGGTCAGGAGTTTTGAGACCATCCTGGCCAGTATGGGGCAACCCCATCTCTACTAAAAATCCAAAAATTAGCCAGGTGTGGTGGCGAGAGCCTTTAATCCCAGCTACTCAGGAGGCTGAGGCAGGAAAATCACTTCAACCTGGGTGGTGGAGATTGCAGTGAGCCGAGGTCACACCACTGCACTCCGGTCAGGGTGACAGAGCGAGACACTGTCTCAAAATAATAGTAATAATAAAAATAATATGACAATTATAGGTGGCCACTTTGGGAAGCCATTGACAGTTCCTCAGAAAGTTAAACACAGAGTCACCATTTGATCTGGCAATTCCGCTCCTAGTTGTATACCCGAGATGAGAAAAACATGTCCATCCTAAAACTTGTACAAGAATGTTCATAGCAGCGTTATTCACAACAGCCCAAAGTGGAAACAGCCCAAAAGTAGTCTGTTCTTGTGGTGGAATATCAGCCTTAAGAAGGAGTGGAGCAGTGGTTACACTGTGGATGAACCTGGAGAGCAAGATGCTAAGTGACAGAAGCCAGGCACAGAAGGCCACGTACTGCAGGATTCCATTTCTATGAAGTGACCAGAATAGGCCATCCCACAGAGGCAGAGAATGGATTGTGTTTGCAGGAGCTGGGAAAAGCTTGAGGTGACATCGGCAGTAGCTGCTGAAGGGTCCTAGGTTCCCTTCTGGGGTGACAAAAATGTTCTAAAATTGATTGTGATGATGGCCGCAGAATTCCATGAATATACCCACAACCACTGAATTATATACATCTGAAAGGGTGCATTGTACAGTATGTGTATTATGTCTCTCAAAAATCTGTATTTTAAAAAATCCAATCACACCAGGCTCCGGGAGCAGAGCCTAGGACCTGCTGCATCTTTGGGGGAAGTTAGGCTCCGAAAAATAGCGCACGGGCTACCGGTTTTCTTTGTGGAAAACACCGAAGTGGGCCCCAGCCTCAACAATGAGCAAACAGTCTCAGCGCACTGGAGACCCGAGTGTTGGAGGAAGCTCTGAATGCTCAGAAGACACTCGGGAGACTCTTGTCATAACCCCTGGGGAGAAAGCTGGCAGTGTCCAGTCGATGTGGAAAATGTGGGTGCCCTGTGACCACATTACTTTCCTTCCAGGGTTATTTCCTAGAAACCTGGGCAGGGGTGGGTAGCTGTTTATCGCAGCATCGCTCATAGTAGCTATAAATTGGAAATAGTCAAACGTTCATCACCAGAGGAATAATCAAGTGTGGCCTATGTGTAGAATGTAGGACTATGCAGTTAAAAGGAATAAATTAGAACTATATGAATTATTATAACATGGACAGCTGTTCAAAACACCAGACGACACACACACTAGGAAACTGGTTTGCATGTATATTTTTTCTTCTGACTTGTCATTGACTTGAAGCTTATGTGTATACATCCTTGCAGAAGGATGCAATCTTGAAGCCAAAATGGTGTGAAAAAAATTTTTTTTTTTTTTGAGATCCGAGTCTCTCTCCGTTGTCCAGGCTGGAGTGCAGGGCACAATCTCGGCTCATTTCAACCTCTGCCTCCCTGGTTCAAGCAGTTCTTGTGCCTCAGCCTCCACAGGCATGCCCCACCACACCTGGCTAATTTTTGGAATTTTAGTAGAGGTGGGGTTTCACCATGTTAACCAGGCTGGTCTTCAACTCCTGACCTCAAGCGGTCCACCCCCCTCAGGTCACAAAGTGCTGGGATTATAGGCATGAGCCACGATGCCCAACCTATGGTGTGAAATTTTAAAACCAGGTTATATGCCCACCTACCATATAACCCATAAGATAGACAGGAATTCCAGGGCTGCCCGCTGGGTTGCCCAGACAGCAAGGTCTTACCTGCTGTGACAGACGGTTCAGCTGACTCCCACGGGCAAGCAGGGGGCCTCCTGGGCAGGGCCTGTCCACTGCACCATAGGCTCCTCCCTGCCACAGGGGGCTGGTGTAGCCGCTGTTGGAACCCTTCAGCTGGGTCCCACCTGCCGGGCACGGGCCAGGTCATGCTGCCTTTCAGACCAGCAGAGCTGTGGGCCACTCCCTGCATCTGAGCTACACCTCACCTGAGACCTCCATGTCTGTTTCATACTCCCTGGGTGAGACATGGGGCTGCCATTCAGGTCTCCTCAGGGACGCCCATCTCCGAAAGGCAACTTCATGGACCAGGGGCCTCGTCCTCACTAATAGCAGGGGAAATAAGGGCACAGGCTAGTTGGTAAGAGGGGTGCCCCTCAGCTGCATCCTTGACCTGGAAGAGAGAGAGTGACCTGTGCCCTGGAAGACAGGGAGGCACGTGCCCAGTGGCTGATGCTGAGGGGCAAAGCTAGACGGGTCGGTGCCTTTTGTCTGCACCATTATTTTTATTTCTGTATTTCTTCCTTTAATTTTTTGAGACAGTGACTTACTCTGTCACCTGGGCTGGAATGCAGTGGTGCGATCATATGTCACAGCAGCCTCCAACTCCTGGGCTCAAGCAGTCCTTCCACCTCAGCCCCCCGAGTAGCTGGGACTGCAGGTGTGCACCACCACACCTGGCTAGTTGTTTTTTGTATTTTTTGTACAGACTGGGTTTCGCCATATTGGTCAGGCTGGTGTCAAAGTCCTGGACTCAAGTGATTCTCCTAGACCCGCCCTTGCAAAGTGTCGGTTACAGGTGTGAGCCACCGTGCCCAGCCATGCACCATTATTTTTATAAACCTCATTTCTGGTGACACTTGACTCAGTGTCCCCAGGCTGGAAGTGGACCCCAGGCCCAGCTCTGGAAGGTCTGATGGAAAACCCCCGGAGTAACAGTGGCTGTGACAGCTGCCGACATATCGAGTACTAACCCTGGGCTGTGCGATGGCTGTGTGTGACTCTCCCCGCAGCCTGTGCGGTAGCTTCTGTTATCTGCATTTCATACCAGCAAAAATGGCGGAAACTGGCAGCAACTTGCTGTGCCACCCGGGGCAGCTCCCTTCCTTCTCCGGCTCTCTTACTAGAACCAGAAGGGTTTCTTCTCAAAGCCATAGGCAAACAGGAGCCACTGTGAAGGGGGCTCGAGGTGCCTGACTTGGGGAGTTCATGAGCCCCAGGGGCCAGGTCCACTGTCCTGACAGCAAGGGACAGAGAGATGCCACAGGGCCAGCCTCTGGGGCTTCACAGGGTGCACTGGTGTCAGAGCGGGTGTGCTCAGGGAGGATGCTGAGGGATCTCCCCAGTGTCAGGTCAAGATGGAAGGGCACTCCCAGCAGAGAAAACAGCATAACAGAGGGACTGCCCATGGCTGTCCGTGGCTGAAGGCGCCCAGGCTGGTGCCCATCGTGGAAGTCTGGTGGCGGAGTGAGGGGTCACTAGATGAACACAGGTTGTGTGGGCTGAGGGCACAGAAATCCCCAGACCACCTTCCTTCCAGGGACTCATGGAGGCAGGGCATGTAGGACTCTTCTGACACTGCTCTTCTCCCCGTCACAAAGCAGGCCAAGGACAGTTCATAGCAGAAACAATCCCAGTACGCAGCAAAATGGCCGGGGAGCACGGTAATGGAAGAAAACAGCTGTCTCCGGGCGGCGGGCTTAGTGGGACCCCCGCACTTTACATTTTCGTCAGGTGTTTTGACGTACAGGTTGAGCATCCCAAATCCAAAAACCCAAAACCCAAAACATTCTAAGTGCTCACATGATGCTCAAAGGAAACGCTCATTGAAGCATTTGGGATTTCAGATTGTTCAATTTTTGAATTTTTGACATTTTGAATTAGGGATGCTGAACTGGTAAATACACTGCAAATGTGACAAAATCTGGAAAAATCCAAAATTCAAAACATCTGGTCCAAGCATTTCAGATAATGGATCCTCAGCATGGATCACTCACATCCTGTGAGTTTTTCCTTTTTTTTTAGACAGGGTCTTGCTTTGTCATCCAGGCTGGAGTAGCGTGGTGCGAAGATGGCTCACTGTAGCCTTGAACTCCTGGGCTCAAGTGATCTTCCCACCTCAGCCTTGTGAGTAGCTGGGACTACAGGCATGCGCCGCCATGCCCAGCTAAGTTTTCATTCTTTTGTAGAGATGGGGTCTCACTGTATTGCCCAGGCTGGTATGATCTTATTACCACCACCACAGTCAAGACACAGAACATGACCCCAGAAAGCTCCCCAGCCCCAGGCAACCACGGACCTGTCTTCTGTGTCAGTAGTGGTGCCTTTTTGAGACGTCCCCATGAAGGCAGTCAGATAGCGTGTGCCCTGTGAGTCCGGCTTCTTTCACGCAGCGGAATGTGTTGAGATGCATCTGTCAGTTGCAGGTGCCAGGAGTTCAGTTCTTTTTATTGCTGAATAGGCTTCCATCGCAAGAGTAAACACAGATTTGTTGTTGGTTAGTTCCCCAGCTGAAGGGCGTGTATTTCTAAATTTTGGTGATGGTAGAACGCGGCGATGAAGAGGTTTCTGTGTGGACGTGTCTTCATTTCTCTCTGGTAATCCCGTTTGGTCCTTATGCATTTTCTAGTGTTTCTATAATAAAGTGTTATTTATGCCATAAAAATCAGAATTTTAAAAAATGCAAAGTAAAGCAACTGTGAGATATCATTTTCTGCTCTCAAACCGGCAAGGATTTTGTAAGTGTTAGCATCCAGCCCTGTTGAGGGCGCTGTGTGTCAACCATGCAGCCTTTCTGGAGAGCAGCTGGGCGAAACAAGATAAGCTGGACACAGGTGTGCCTTTGGGCAGGCGCCTTCACTTCTAGGGACTCAGGTATTCATTGGACAGATGTTTGTTGAGCTCCCTGGTGCCAGGCCCAGGGATTTGGTAGTGGGTGAGACTCCGGAGACCCCAGAGCACACCTAGTAGGGGCAGGTCAAATGTCATGCAATTATCCATGCAGGGACAGGGTGAGAAGTTTTGCAAAGAAGTTGGGGGCCTCTTGTCCCCTTCTCCAGCTTGCACATGACTTCAGTGTCATAGAGAAAGGAGCACCATCCCTGTACTTGCCGGCTGTGTGACCTTCGGCAAGTCACTCCACCTCTCTGAGCCTCAGAGGAAGACAGCTGTTCTGCATCCAAGTCTAAGGCCTTAATGTTTATGGAGACAAGACCATCTAGCTGGCCTCCCTGTTACTCCACAAAAGGTCTTCTCCTTCCTCAAAAGTCCAACGAGGTAGTGTTGATGGTTATACAACTCTGGGAGTATACTAAAGGCAACTGCATTGTATGCTTCAGAAGGATGGATTTTTTTATGGTATGTGAAATATAACTCAATAAATCTGCTATTTTATAATAGAAGCTTGAGGCCGGGCACAGTGGCTCACGCCTGTAATCCCAGCACTTTGGGAGGCCAGGGAGGGTGGATCACCTGAGGTCAGGAGTTCAAGACCAGCCTGACCAACACAGCAAAACCCCATCTCTACTAAAAATGCAAAAATTAGCTGGGCATGGTGGCAGGCACCTGTAATCCCAGCTACTTGGGAGGCTGAGGCAGGAGAATCATTTGAACCCAGGAGACGGAGGTTGCAGTGAGCTGAGATCACGCCACTGCACTCCAGCCTGGGTGACAAGAATGAAACTCCATCTCAAAAAAAAAAAAGGCCAGGTGCAGTGGTTCACACCTGTAATTCCAGCACTTTTGGAGACTGAGGTGGGCAGATCACAAGGTCAAGAGATCGAGACCATCCTGGCCAACATGGTGAAACCCCATCTCTACTCAAAAGTACAAAAATTAGCTGGATGTGGTGGCAGGCGATTGTAGTCCCAGCTACTTGAGAGGCTGAGGAAGGAGAATTGCTAAACCTTTAAACCTGGGAGGCAGAGGTTGCAGTGAGCCGACATTGTGCCATCGCGCTCCAGGCCTGGCTACAGAGCGACAAAAAAAAAAGCTTTAACGTGAGACCAACTCTGCTAAAAACTCTATTCTGGTGGGAAGCATGAGCCTTGTGAAAATTAGATGTCCAGAAATGAGGAAAAACCTCTTTCCTAGGCGGATGGAGGGGCCCACCATGGTTAGCTTCAGGAATGTGTGTGTGAGCAGAAGTGAGGCTTGGTTCTCGAAAACGATGTCTCACCTTTGCCACAAAATATTGTTGGGAAAATCCAATTATTAGAACAAAAGAAGGGCCCAGGAATGTCTCTGCAGGGACAGAAAGCTCTTCTCATCCCCGTGGGCTTGATCTATACCCCATAGCTTGTCCCCATCCTCTGCCTGTCTTTTGGATGTAATCGCAGATACCTGAGGCCAGATGTGGACAAAAAATCCAAACATAAGACAGCAGTAAAGAAAAAGACCCTGAACCCGGAGTTCAACGAGGTATGAGGGCTGGCGGCGCCGCATGAAGGCCACTCCTCTGCCCCAAGGTGGGGGGGGCGTGGCTGGAGGGGCTGGGGAGAGGGAAGTGTTGAGGGGAGTCCTGGGTTCCTCATGAAGGCAACAGGGCAAAGAGGAGGTGAGGAAGATGGGGGAAGCTCTGTGTGGGGCAAGGGGAGTCGGGATGGCCCGGGGACCCCAGAACGGTCTTCATCCCAGGAGGGTCAGTATGGCTGGAAACGCGGATTCCCCGCAAGGAACAAGAAGGAAAGAAGAGCAGAGGGGCCTCGGGCAGAGCCCACACCACAGCAGCGATCAGGCAGGGGGCCGAGGAGATGCTTCCAGAGAGCAAGGGGGATCCCGGATGGGAGAGGGTCCCAGAAGCTTCGAGAGAGAGGGACCCACAGAGAAGGGAGAGGTCAGCAAAGCCAGGCCCCAGGGAGGCCCAGGATGACGAGGACTGGGGCGTGCACTGCCTCTGCAGTCAGGAGGCTCCCGGGATATGGGCAGAGCAGGCTCAGGGACACGGAGCAAGTGAGCGAGGGGATGGGGCCCTGGAGACCCCAGCAGAGCCCGAGGGGAAGTAGGCAAGACACATGGGCATCCACCCCTCACCCCCACCTGAGTGCTGACCACCCCCGCCCTCCTCGTTCCCCACCCCTCACCC